TCCATACCGGCCTGTTTTGTTTTGTTTTTTGTATTTTTATTGTTCATCAGCATCAGCTTCGTTGGTAGGCGGCAGAATTAATGTCGTCTGAGCCCCAACGAGAGACAAAGCCATTACGCGTGGTTGCCTCTCTGGGCATGACAGTATCTATCCGTTTTTGGGCCGGAGAAGTCGGGGTTGGAGCTCTAATTGGGTGTATGTGTGTGCGAATTTGACAGCGATTGATTTGCCTTTGAGCGACTCGTCGCCAATTTTAATGGCTTTGAATTTGTTGTGAGGACAAAAATGTGTCGAGTGTCGACCATTCGAGTAGCTACGTAAAACTGATGTGCACATTAGTCAAAACTTTTGATCACACAAAACTGAAAATCAAAATGAACAGCAAAAAGCCAACTCTATCACGTGGCAGAAGTAAAATTTTTAAATGCCTGTGAACGTCGATTGGGCATAAACATTTTGTATAAAATGCGAGGTGCGCTTCAAATACTTTAAATGTATATAGATCCTATTAGTTGTACATATTGGAGGAATTTAATGAGCTTTTGGTGGTCTTTTCGCTTTTAGTTTAAAAACTGAAATATATCCCATTTATATAGCATACTATGGTTTGTTAACAATGCTATTATGTTTACTTTCTTATTTGTTAAGTTTGTTATTTCTTGTTACTGTTGAATAGTTTTGGCCAATATTGCACGCCGATTCTGAATTAAAAAACAAAACAAACATAGCTATTAATATTTTTTGTGTAACTTAAAAAAAAGGGCCGCAAACTGAACAATTCAAAATGAAATTGTCTGTGTAGAGATGAAAGTTTGCTCTTTAAATCAATGTCAGAGCTGCAGTTCAGAGTCTATAGGGTTTTAGAATGCATCTCCCCATTTCGCATTGCATGCCTATTAGAGTTGCGATCGGTATAAATAAAATGAAGGCTAGGGAATACGCAAGGATTTTTCTTTTCATTTAAAAATTCTACGGAATGTACAGGTAGTTATAAGACTGATGCTGAATAAGTATAAAATTACTTGCAGATGCTTTCACACTAACCTCGCACTGCCCGCCCTGCCCACCGCCCTGTACCGGAACAACAAAAAAAAGCAATTACACGCACTGTAGGCTGACCAAAATGGCGTTTGAAGCTGAGCGCTCTCTGCTCGATTACAATTAAAATCGATTTTTGCTTTGATCGCCTCGCAATTTTTGGCGCACTTAGCCCGCCGACGGCCTACCCAATACCCAATACCCTTCCAACTCGTGCATACCCATGTGTTGACGGCTATTGTCGATTTGTGACTGTCAACGTCGGCCGCCACACGTCAGCCAACTCCACCGCCCCCGCCCAGCTGACCCCTTGCGCGATCCACTTTGAACAAATTTGAATGAAATTAGAAATTTGCACGCAGCAAAAGCGCAAAACTGAAAACTGAAAGCAATGCCATCGACATGGACATCGATGTCGTTCACTTCTGAGCCCCATTACATGTCAATTGCAAAACACTTTTGACTTTGATTGCAGCAGCCGTTGACATCGGACGTTAAGCGTCGGTCACGGGCCGTGAGCTATACAGTTAGAACATCACCAACCCTATCCCCATCCTGATCCCAATCGCGTCCTCGTTTGCTACTTTTAATCAAAAGCCGCCGCTTGGCCGCACAATGGCGGCAAAGTTGCCCGTTAAATGCAATGCTTGTCATCAGTTGTCAAAGTGCTAGGAAGGCTGCCTGGCTGTCTAACAGCCTGGCAGGCAGTCAGTCAGGCAGGAAGGCAGGCAGTTGTGGAGGTAGGGAGATAGGCAGTAGCTTCAATCAAATTCCTGGACAATCTGCAGCGCAATAACTGCCATGTAACGCCAATGTCCGGAGCAGCAGATTTTTTGATGTTCAGTCATATGAAGCATAAGTAACAGCCACTGGCAGGCGGTGTGACAACTTTGAAGCACATAAATTGTTAGAATTGGTTGATGGATTGAAGCTTAATATAAAAGAATTTGGAAACATTTTCAACAAACTGCAGTGTTACTGTTTATTACAATACTCTGTACCTATGTGTAGCATAATTTTATAAATTTAAGCAAATTAACAAAATTGAAAAAATTGTATTACAAAATATTAAATATATTTATACAATGTTTCATGTTTGAAATACACTTGTACTACATGCTCATAAAAGGAATCTGTGTTCAAAATTTTGAGTCTCTAGCTCTTATAGTGTCTGAGATCTAAGAGTTCATACGGACGGACAGGCAGTCAGGGTTAAGTCAAGTCATCTTGTCATGCTGGCTTTTAAATTCACAATTTTGCACAAAAACCGAATATTTTATTGCACATTTCAGGAACACAGTATAATTATACAAATAAATATATAATCTACCAGCTCATGCGTATGTACATGAGACTCCTGATAGGTTGCTCTCCTTTGTTCAATTTAAGTTCGGGTCTCTTCTTTGAAAGAACTACATAAAATGGTTTCAAAACTCAGCTCAGGGCTTTACTAAGTAGTTGGCACTTCAAAATAATCATGCAAAAATTATATCTTTCTACATTTGGCTTAAGCACGTTGCGAAATTCTATCGCTGGCGAAATGACATATACTTGTACATTCGGCTACATATCTCTGCCAAGTAGTACTAACACTGGCAGCAAATTTACAAAACCGAATTCCATTATAAAGATACAAATCAAATTGGCAGCGCGAGATGGTGAAATGCTTTTGCTTTTGCACGCAGAAACGCAAATATGCAAAAATCAAATTACCAGAGGTTGAAAAATCGCAGACATCAGAGACACATAAATCAGCGGCATCGACTTCAAAAGACCAACAGCTACAGCAACAACAACAGCAAAAGGGCAAGTTAGAGCAAGTTTGCAGAAGCAAAGAAATTGTTACCGCTATTTAACGGTTTATTGATGCGTCGCTTTAGCAAAATTTATTGGCCTGGTCGTTGGTCGCCGCTGCCATCCTCATCCTCATTGCCATCCACATCGTCAACGGCATCGCCAATGGCTACCATGCATCGAACCCAACAATTTCGAAATCAAAATGGAAAATGGCAATGGAATAAACGTGGAAAAAGGTAGAAATTGATTTGCAAACCATTGCCATAGCCATTTCTCAAAATGGTAGCAGCATCGTTGAAAGAGCCAAAAAGTGGTCGCAACCAACAACAACAACAAGAATAACATCGCAAATAATGGCACTGATAAGTCGCCTAATGATATCAAAGATTTGCCCAATGAGATGTGATTTTCGAATTGAAATTTAAAGGATGAGCCCATCACAAAATATTTTCTGTCACAACATTTCTTGTTCGCTCTCAAATTTATCTTCTCTGATATTTGACATTTGCGCCAATTTCTTTTTACAAATTTCCACGAATTATCCATTATCCGTTCCATTATGTGTACCATTTGAAATGCGACACTATATACGACTAGATGGAGACTAATATGCAGAGCAAAGCAAAATATAACAATAATTTTTTATTCTGCGTGCTGACTGGTTCTTTTCATTCTAGTGCTGACTAGTTTACGTCAGGTACAGGTCTCCTTTTAAATGTTTGCATTATAATTAAGGTTTCCTTTGCCGTTTAGTCCTTTAATAATTAATAATAGATTTCAGCGACACTATACACTTGCAAGAAATATGTACATATTCATATCTGAGATAATAAATTGTTGTAAACTCTGATTTTTTATATTAAGCTAGCTTTAGGAAATTTTTATACCCTGTACCCGTAGGGTAAAAAGGGTATATTAGGTTTGTGGAAAGTATGTAACATACAGAAGGAAGCATCTCCGAACCCATAAAGTATATATATTCTTGATCAGCATGACGAGAGAAATCGATCTAGACATGTCCGTCCGTCTGTCCGTCCGTCTGTCCGTCTGGATGAACGCGAGGATCTCAGAAACTATAAAAGCTAGAATAACCAAAGTTGGCATCCAGATTCTCCTAGGTCTGAGTAAGGACGAGTTTATTTTTTTTTTTTTTAATTTTCCCCCCCTTCCCCCGCTGCAGAATTTCGTCAATAGCGTCCACATTTCAAATGCTACCTAAACCAAACTTTGCACACATAATTTATATATAATTGTCTATTGTTGTTCAAAATTTTATTCAATTCGGTCAATTCTAAGAAAAGTTATTAGCAAAACAAATTTTCGCCAGTACAACCCCCACAAACTGCAGCAACAAGTTCACTCTTCTTCTTCCTCTTTTTGCTGCTGCTATGGGCGCATATAACTCAGTGACGCAAGTTTACCTGGGTACAGGGTATTACACTTTCGGGCTTGCTCGACTGTAGCGTTCTCTCTTGTTTAAACTTTTAATTGGCAAATAAAGGAAAATAAATAAATATTTTGTATTTATTAATGCGCTTAAAGAAAATAAATTTAAATGTATATTAGACATCAATATATTTAGTAGAAAATAATAAAAGGCGATCAATGAAAAGCAACGTAAACTTGATTGTTGAAAGGAGAATAACTCTCAATAGTAACAATGGCAGGAAGACTGCAAAAACTATGTCTACATGGGGAAGAGTCTTGCTGTCTACCCGTCCGTCTATCTGTCTGTCTGTTTGCCTGTTTGTCCATCTAAATATTTGCATGTTTGTCTATTTAATTGAACGTTTGATTGTGTATTTGAGCGTAGGTTTGTCTCCATAATGATCAATCTGTCCGTCTCTTCCACTTTCTGTCTGCAAGTTTTTGATTTCTAATGTATAATTTATTCTTTTATACGAATTATGTTTTAATTATAGTATATTTTTATCATAATAAACCTCTGCCAGTTGTCTAAATTGCTATTTATCATGATATTTCTATCCATCTGTGACTGATGATCTGTCCTTGTTTCTGTTTATCATTCCATTCATTTTTCGATTCATCTGGTGTTAACTACCTGTTGAACTCTCTGTGTGAAGGGTTGAAAGAAATCTATCTCATAATTCTCCATCTTCATCTAACTAGCTTATATTATTTCCCAACTAAAGAACCATTGACATTCACTTCTGGCAACAACATGAAAATAAAAACTATATTCTTAAACAGACACACAAACTAGCCGTAGCTATAGTACATATCCCCTGACTCAGAGTTAACCGCTTCAAAATGATTTCGAACTATATGCTTAAGGTGGCCAATGATAGAAATGCTGGTGAGGAGCAGCCCAATACATGCAGCCACTGCCCGGAGGTACTGGAGCCGCAAATCGATCTGAACAGCTATGCGCAACGGTATTCGGATATACCACGCCTTATCCGTCTTAAGTTCATTGCCCAGGTGTGTCCCAAGCTGCGCGTTCAGGCCCTGGAGTTGGCCATAGACCATGTGAAGACCACCTATAACGTGCCACTCTACGACGAGCTCTACCACACCCTTTGTGCTGAGGTGGAGCGCACGAACTCAGCTGCGAATGTTGATGCTGCTGATGGGAATGGGACTGAAAATGATGATGAACCGAGTCCTTCCACTTCGCGTTCGCAGAGGACTAGGGGGAGTAGAAGTAGCCAGTCTGTGCCATATGACGCCTATTGGGTGGAGGACAACACCATGGAGTCTACGCTGCTGCTGCAGGAGCTCGATGCCGAGCTAAACTTTAAGAAAACCCACTCGGGTAACTCCTACAAGCGTCGCATACTGGAGGAAATGGGGGACTATCATGTGAAGACGGGCAATTTGAAAATGGCTGTCAAATTTTATGCTCGAGTGCGTCCGTTCTGCACGCAAAGCGATAATGTCATCAACATGTTTCGGAATCTCATAAAGGTCTCCATATATATGGCCAATTGGTGGCACGTGCTTAGCTACATAGACGAAGCCAAGCAGTATGCCTATGGATTTGAGAATCTCGCTCAGTCGGTACCCGCACGCTTTAGCTGTGCCTCCGGTCTCGCCAATTTGGGCCTGAAGATCTACAAGACGGCAGCAGAGTGCTTTCTACGTACACCTTTCAATCGCTACGATTATGTGCAGATTGTAGCGCCCTCAGATGTCGGCTATTATGGAGGGCTGTGCGCTCTGGCTACCTTTGATTTGGACACATTGGAGCATGGCGTTCTAAACTCAGAGCCGTTCAAGCCCTTTTTTGAACGAGCTCCCAAAATGTGGGAAATACTGGCCAGATTTTATGAACGCAATTTCGATCACTGTCTGGTGCTGCTCCATGAAATCCAGGATAATATGCGCGTGGATGTCTATTTGGCGCCACATGTGGATACACTATATCAGAAGATTGGCGCAAGAATTGAATCATACCGAAATGCCAGGCCAAGAAAGGATTTCTGAACGATTTGAAGGCGCAGGCAAGAGCTTTGTTTTCATTAATCAGCTTTTGCAATTGTCCAGAACAGGTCTGTAGTTACACCTTGGCTCTCTCGCCGTTTTCTGTATTTTCCGCTCAAAGTTTTGTTACACTATCCAGCAAATGAAAAAGCAAAATACTAAACAACTACCTAAAATTTTGGTTATCAAATATTTGTTTACTTTCTAGACCTATTGTTTTTCACCGCGTAGTTGTTCAAGGTGCTTAAAGCTACCTTTAAACTGACTCAACGTTATTCCTGAAATCCAAAATATAAAATAAACTCGTATTGCATAGGGACTAGGAAAGTACGAATAACAAGTTTGGACAATGTGGGCTCAGTCGTCTCCCAAATGCAGGCGTTCATCCAGGCAGACGGATCGATTTCTCTCGTCCTGTTTACCTTATAAGGTTGGAGATGCTCCCTTCTGCCCGTTGCAGGGTATAAACATTTGCTTATTCAAATATTCAACTAAAAATGATATTGCTTTGCTTTCCATAGTTTTGTTTTACAGTGTTTGGAAGATTTTTTGACGAGCGCTGTATGACAAAGCGCAAAAACGCTAAACTTTTAGCAAAGAGTGCAGTCAGAGCTTTATACTTCTTTAGCTGCTTGTGAGCCAAAAAGTTTTTAGCTGCTTTTGTGCCTTTTACAGTTCTTGGCACTTTTCTTGGCAACGACGAAAATTGTTGCGAAAAAAAGCATACACAGCATCCACAGCATCAGCCATAGACATTCATACTCGTATGTATGTACGTATGTATGTAAATATATTTTGAAGCTGCCGTTGCCAGAAAATGGAAAGTAAGCCAGGCAATAACTATGTGCCTGAGAAGACAGTAACAAAAACAAAAACAACAATAATAACAACAGTAAAGCAAGAAGGAGCAGCAGAAATATTTTATGAAAAGCGTGTGATTTCATGCTGCTTTTTTATGCGAGCCGCACTGCCAGACTTTTATTATTATTTTCTAACTGTGACAAAAAGTCGACGAGTGAAAGCTGCTGGCAGCTACTGTTACTGCTACTGCTGCTGCTGTTGCTACTGCCGCTACTGATGCTACTGCCATTGCAGCACAAAGCAGCAAACAACATAATTAAATTTTCGTGTGCTCAGTAGAACGAACGAGCAAACGGGTATCTCTGTATCTCTCACTCACTGTTCTTCTTCCCATCAATCGTCCTTTTTGGCCGTCCTCAAAAGATTGACGCAAAATGATGAAATATTGCACAGTTGAAGTGATTTTTATGAACTCTCGAAAAGGCCGAAACCGGCTAGTTGAGGGGGAGCGCATGACGAGAACGGCACGCTAACGAGCTTAAAGATAAAGCTGCATAGAAAATGGCCGAAAAAGATACAAAGGCTAGACGGTGCTTTCAGGTACGAGAATTTGCAAAAGGGCGGCAGCAGGGGTGCACACAAATATCCAAATAGTTTTAAAGTAGCCGCCTCTGAATGAGAAACGAACAGCGCCTGAGTAAATAAAAGCAATGAAATAACCTTGGACTACAAATTTACATTATAGGACAATATAATAAACAACATTTAAAGGCACAGAGAAGATGTTTGAGTCAAAAAAGGACTTTCATGAAAACTAATATTGGAACTAACAGTGGAACCCTCCAACTATTTCGATAATTTGTTTTATAGATTCTGATCTTAGTCGGATTTTGCACATTTTAATTGTAAATAGAAATGTAAAATCTTTAACTGGAATTTACAGAATTGTTGAAAACAGATATACACACATATTATTGACCTGTAGGATGGGATGAGTATGTATAGTCAGGTTTGTCTATACGGCCGCCTGTTTATTCTCTTTATAAGCCCAAGGACTTCGGCATGTATTAGAACTAGAGCTTCGAAACTTCTTGTAAACGTTCTTCTACTCTTCTGGTCCTTTTTTTCATATCTTTATCAATTCTTGGAACTTAAAACTTTATCAAAACATAAGTTATTAGTGTAGAAACAGAATAATTACAATATAGTATAATGGAAATTCTTAATGTCTGTATTTATATTGCTTTACTGATACAACAGGCTCGGCTCTTAGGGGTCGCTTTTCTCTAGAACACTCAAATATTAAATTATTATTAAGTTACTAAGAAGCTTATAGTTTAACTTTTCATATGGTAATATTATTCCTCAGAGCGCACCAACAGCCAACATACAATCAACAATCAATTGTAATACCGCCAATCCAGCAAAATGACGGAAGTGCCTCCCAAGCCCTAGCCCCATAACTTTCTCCTGCAACAGAAAGCACTGTCTTGGCCTTTTTGGCATCACTCGTCGTCGTTGGCTCGGTAGATTAAAACCAACAATCTTGGAAATATTTTTAATAAACCAGCGGCTGTTTTTTCTCTCTTTATGCTGTTTTTTATATTTTTTTCCTGCCTCGCTGATAAGTTGAGCGGGCCTTGGACCATAGAAACAATAAAAGCAGCCTCACTGCCACCTGAATGCCTTCCACAACTCTTCGGAAACTTTGACCGAACAGCCTCGCTCGCTCTCTGCCAACATTCTGTTGAGTAATTCTTTTGTAATGCGGAAGGAAGCACGAAACAACAGCATACAGCAGCGACTTCCGTACGGGTCGGGACAGGGATTTAAAGGGGGGAGGTACCTGCTAAAAAACAATAGCCAAGATAAATGAAATGCACCCCGCACTGGTGATTGGATGCCCTAGCTGCAAAATGGGTATACACGATCAAATAAATAAATCAATAAATAAAAATGGTTTCAGAACCACTGCCAATATGTTCTAGAAGAATTATTAAAACTAATTTAATATTTATTTTTAATAAAAAATTATCATTTATATACTTATTATATATCTACTAATTAGATGTCTTATTACTGTTTTATTTACTATATTTGAAATTAAGTTGTTCAAATTAGAAAAACAATAGTTACGACGTCTTTGAATGCTTGAACTCGTATTCAATAAAGTCCTCAATATTAAGGCAGTCATAATTTTTTATTTATGCACATTAGTATAATATTTATATGTAGCCTTATACTAAAGCAAGTATAGATACATGAAGGGTATTAAAAAACTTGAACACAAAGCGCATAACTGACCTACGCGCGCCTGGCTGACTGCTTGAACAACCGGAAGCGGGTTCGGGACACAGAAGATGCGGGCTGTAGACTGTGGACTGTGGACTGAGGACCGGGGACTAAGGCCTGAGGCCTGGGGGCGGCGACTTGTCTGCTAGACAAAAACCTAGCCAGGCAGCAAGATAAATTGCTGCAGTGTTTAGTTAATACTTTTGCACCACTTTTTTCACTTGCGTTCAATACGAAAGAAAATTCCAAGTGCTGGCCAAAGATGAGGGGCATGGAGAATTGGCCAACAGCTGGCTGGACAAGTTTATCTTTTGTTACATTGACTTCCGCTAAAAGATGCTAAACTAGGAAACTGTTTTATTTCACTTTTTGTTTTTGTTTTGTTCTGTTTTGTTCCATTTTGTTTGCTTTGGACCAAGCAAACAGGAAAAGTTAAACAGAAATCAAGAGAAGGTGCATGTAAAAGGTTAAAGTTTTAGAATGTGTCCAGTACCGATGGATATACAAAAGAAACAAATCAATATATTTTCTATTCCGAACAAAAGAAAACATTTAATGTAGGCACTTTGTTGTTCAGAGGGAAAACTGAAAAAAGGTTAAATGTTAACTCATTTTACCTGAAGCTGTGGCTTAATATCAAATTACTTCTTTATAGTATCATGGGCTACCTGAAGAAACAAAAGAAACTAATTCTAGTAATCTGTAGTGCAAGTTTTCCAAGTCCCCTAGTCAACATTTCAAAACAGTCTATAATTGTATCTAAATTATTTAGATTGCTGTATTTCAAAATAGTTTGAGAAGTAATTGACGAAAATTTCCAATTCTATTTAATAAATGCAATGTTTTGTGTATATCCAGTTCCATTAATATTCTTCTCCGTATGTTACGCTTTCTGCTTTACTCAGCAGGACTTGTTTAGATTTTTTTAACTTGGCCAATGACTTCTCAAAGTCCTCTACATTGAGCGATAAATCACAGGCGTCGAACTTGAAAGGTAATATTTGTTTTGCATCACCGGCACCTATTTGTTCGTCCATGACGTGCTTCATGTGGCTAACCATTGCGGAACGGCATAGCTCCCGCAGATCAGAACCGGAAAACCCATCTGTTGACTTCGCCAGATGTCGAAGGTCCACCGATGAATTCACCTTCTCTCTCTTGAGTATGAGACGCAGAATGTCCAGACGTTCGGCTTTATTGGGCGCTCCGATGTGCAACTGCAGCGGCATTCGACGCAATATGGCCATGTCTATATCCTGCGGCCGATTCGTAGCACCCAGGACAATGATGGTCGAGTTCGTTGCGGTCCGCAAGCCATCCCAGAGCATCATGAATTGTGTTTTCATCATGGCCGTTGCCTCGTGATCTGAATTACCGCGTGCCCGCAAAAAGGAATCAATCTCATCGATGAAAATAATACACGGTTGCATCTTCTGGGCCAACGTAAACACGGCCTTGGCCAACTTCTGGGACTCGCCGTACCATTTGTCCGTGAGCATAGAAACATCCAGATTGATGAATCGCATCTGGGTCTCTGTGGCAACAGCCTTAGCTATTAAAGTCTTGCCACAACCGGGCGGTCCGTAGAGCAGCACGCCCTTGGGGGTACTGAACAAACGCGATTGCTTATACAACTCCTGATGCATTAATGGCAGAATAAGCGAGTCGCGCACCTCCTCCTTAATCTTATGCAGACCGGCAATATCGCGCCAACCAATATTGATATCCTCGGGTGCCACCAGGTGTGCGGCTATAGCCATTTCATGTTCATTCAGATCCCCCAACTTCAGTTCCTTACCGCTGCTATTCCGCTTGTTCAGTTTCTTCAGCTGCTTTGCAGCTTTCTGCTTAATGCGGTTCTTCATCTGGTTCAGAGGATCCACCCGCGAAATGATCCACTTGGCCGTAAAGTAAGACAAGGCTGTGATTGCGCAAAAACGTACGACACAGCCAGCTATTTGGCAGCGTGGCCATTGATTTGCCAAGTCCATTGTTGTTATGCGTAAGACTTTTGAGAAACAATTTTTAAGTGTTTTTTTTTTTGTTGTTTTTGTTCTGAATCGGAAGACGAACCGAGATTGAATAAATCTTGTGCTATGTAAAATATTCCATATGTCTAACAATTGAAAAGATTTGACACTATTTCCGCAGACAAACATGTTTTAATATTTTATTGATTAGTGCTACAATTAAACCCGAATTTTAAGGCACTAGTCACTAGAAAAGTACAATTAATTACATTAATATAATGATTACTGATCATTTGATTTGATAAAAAAGTTTGTCACCAAACTGTAACACCTTTTTGAAAATTGGATTTAAAAATATGTAAATACTAGTTGTTAAAACCAGTATTTAATCTGATTATTAGAGTCCCTTTCATGCTACCTTGACAATATAATATTTAATAAAAAATACATTCATCGGTAAGGGAAAACAAACCTAGCTGTAAGCAAATAAAATAAACATATAGGCACTAGAAAAAAGATGCTTCTGATAATATGAAAGAGCAGCGAAATAAAATCAATTAAAAATATGAATTTAATAAATGTAGTTCTCTTTTCTTTATGGAAGTTCTTCCACTGATTAATAATTATTATAAATTATGTTAGTTATGACTTATTGGGATAGCTTTGTGATCATTGACATTGACCAGCGCATTTCGAAATTTTCGAAATATAATATCTTACAATAAGAATTTTATATTATTATTCATAGTAGTTTAAGTTAAATTTATTAACGACTCTACACTACTAAGGAAATACCAAGGATTTCAATGATCCCAGATAGACGGATAGTCCCTGAATCGTTTCCCCATTGTACCGGCAGTCTGGCTGTACTATTTGGCCTACCAATATCTAGCACATTGCTTGCATGCCTGCTGCATTGTTAATGCAGTAGGTTCTTGTATGCGTGCTTTTGTGATGAGAAAAAGAGCTGAAGAGCATTGTGAGAGGGCGAGGCTGTGGGAAGAAATCAAAATAACAACAGCGCTAGTACGACAATAACAAAAATCTTTTATGTAAAATTGAATATTCATAAGTTGTTCGTTTCATGCACAGCAGGAAGAGCAGCAGCAGCAACAACAACAGCAACAGCCGACGGAGCCATCAGGAGCCTAACTGCATGCCTTGTTGCTGCTGATGTTGCTGCTACTGTTGTTGTAGTTACGGTTGTTGTTGCGCTCGTTGTTGTGTTTGTTGTTGACTGCCACTGGCAGTTGATTGTTTTTGTGTGTAGTTTTGTTTGGATGACTGAACCTGCAGACGCCACACACTCACACATCCACACACATGGAAAAGTTGCGGTTGTTTGCTATTTTGTCATGCAAATTGTATTTATTGCGGCGAAAAGACAACAACAACAGGCCCAGCCAAAATTGCAACAAAAAGAGTAAAGAGGAACAGGACAGAGGAACAGGCAAAAGACAACAACGCGCGTCGCTGTTGTAATTGTTTGATATTTGTCATGTGTGTGTTTGATTGTGTGTGTGTGCCTGTGTGCGGGTGTGTGTGTGTGTGCGTGTGCCTGCATCCAGCACCATTGTAAACAAGAAAATTGACTGCCGCCGGCATTGCAGAGGAGAACTGTGCATTCTACACGGCCTCTAAAACAAAACAAACAACAACTAGTGAAGATGGACGCCGAAAAGTATGCTACATAATAAACCAACTTCTATATGAAGGACCACTTTCAGGGCCGATTCAACTGAGCATTAGCTTTATTAAAAAGCATAATTCCTAATTGATTAATCAACTTATAATTAAAAGAAAAACTTGCGATTAAGTGATCGTTTTTAAGCAAATACAGATAACATTCGCTTTTCGAATTCATGCTTAATCTTAACGAGCATTTAACAACTCGTAGAAGATTGATATTTTAGTTTATGTGACGATTATTAATATTATTATTAATCATTGATAAAAGGTAGTTTCACTCATATTGATGTTTAGGTTTTACAATTAAGGGATCATTGAGGCAACATGTTTATTTCTTGAAGTGCTGTATTAATATTTTCACTAAAAGTCATGAGCACCGTGTGCTGTGTGTGAAAGCTTGTTTGGAGTTTTTACTTTGAAATTCTGATACCCGTTGATGTAAAAAAAGAGAGGGAGTCTAAAGAATTTGAATAAATAGTGGACGACTGTGACACGTAAGAATTAAAAGAAAAGCACCCAAATTATTTCAAATAGAGAATATGTTTTTGATTTGATGGCAAATTGATTGATTGGGAGATTAGTAGTAAAGATGAAGGTTGAGGAGACTATTATTATTAGTGAAGACAAACAAGGAACTGTGCGGAAGCAACTTTTAACAAATTACTTTGCTTTATTTTTTTCTCTTTTAAAAATTTTCTCTTCACGTATTCATTTTCTAAATTTGTTCACATTTCTGTGTCAATTGCTTTGATGTTCGAGTGCAGGTGAGGCAATAGCACGAAGTCACTATTAAGTTAAACATAAACTCGGATTATACTTTTTAAAACCACTTAAATTTCAGACACGCTCATTTCGTACTATTGCAATAAGCCGAATCTTTCAAATCAGTCACCGGAAACGTTTTAAATCGCTGACTATAAATGCTTGATATATGTACATCGAACCGTTCAATCAAGCCAAATGCCAACTACTACTACACGCCTATATCGACCCAGGTCGATCCATCCGCCCATACCCGTCCCCACCGACTGCGACCCCGACTCCAACTTTTGAGCCGATTCGACAACTACTCCGAGCTGCAAATGTGCACATAAATTTCGTTGCAGACATAAAGTTCTGCCCAAGATTTCGTTGCTCGTTGGTTTGCCATTTTACGACTGTGAGTTTTATTCGGCGCACGGCAGCGTCAGCGGCAGCGCAGCAGTTTTCCATCATCATCATCATCTTTAGCATCATCCTGAGAAGTAACAGCAGCAGGCACTCAAAAACTTTGAGGAATTTTTATGCCAGACACGAGGCTAAGAAAGAGTTTTCACCGCATGTTAATGGCCAACTTTGATGAAGTTGGCATTTGGAATTAGGTGGAAACGTTGATAAATATTTGAAAGAATTTTTTTGCTTGCTCAAGAATTTGTCGCGCATACTCTACTATTTTGGCATACGAGTATGCAAATTAATTGGTAGTCAAACTAATTTATGCCTTTTGTCTTCATTCATTCTTTGAGCGCGCATCTGTTTCTGCAGCCAATTTATTTCTGTATCCTTTGGACAGCGGCTTGCCTCGTAAAACTTATGTTGGAACAATTATGGTTTTCAGCTGGCTGCTCAGTGGCCCCCATCTTGGATGTTTTTACGACAAGTGGCGCAATGCCGTGTGGAGACATAAAGCTAAAGTGGTCACAAATACGAAATCGTAAATGCGGCTTCAAATCAAATTAGACAGAAATTAGTGCTAAGTGAAACCACGATGGCGGTTGAAAGTGGGATTATTCAGATATATGCGCGTAGTGTGTATGTACATTATTGTTATTATACATACATACATGTACATGTACCTATCTAAAAGGAGAAAGAATTTATGTTCTTCACTTTTGTGCAATTCCTGGTAATGCTTCTAACATTAAATATATCTGTTTTTCTCTGACAGGGTTAGCTAATATTTATTCCACATTATACATGTGTTTACTTAAAACATGAACGTGGAATCGTTCCCTATTCTTTTAATGTTATTTCCCATTTAAAGCTTTTTATGATATGGAGTCGCCCGCTCTTCTAGATACAAATTGATATCAGAGTTTCCGTTTTTGAGCGCAAGGGATTATCTTTTTGTTATCAGAGAGGCAGAGGACTTTTAATCGACGTTGAATCTTATAGCAATGTATTCCCTGCAAATCAAAAAATGATTGTCCATTTAAAGTGTTACTTTTTTTCCTTCTGTCATCAGAGAGACAGCAAGTTAATAATAAGTAATATTTTATTAATCACAATTACTATAAATTAAATAAATTTAATTATTGCCCATTGGAAGTATTCTTTTCTTCCTGCATAAACAGAACTTGTAGTGAAAACAGTTAGTCGTTCTGTGGCGCTTCATTTTTGGCTTCATTTTAAACAGTTCTACATGGTTTAATGTTATTGCAAATATTAGGCTAAAGAGTTCGATAATGCGCCTTGGGATAGGCGTGCCGCATGAAATGCTTGTGCAACACATTTCGCTTCATACGATGTTTTCATGTGGCAGGCAGGCAGATCTACTTGCTGTTCACCTGTCGGCAACTTCAATATAGTCCGTTGGGGAGCATGATAAATGCATTTTGCTGTTGACAAACTGCATTATTTATGCCATATCTACAGTTCTTTAGAAGGGTATGTGCAACGACAAATATTTCAAATATTTTCGAGTGCATTTAAGTGGACAGCCAGAGAGACAATTGTGTGCGTGTTTTTGTGCAAAAATTCATTGAATTATTAATTAACTGCAATTGCTGGAAATGCGCATAATAAAAATATATTATTACAGCTGTCGTTAAGTGGAAGTGGACATCTGTCTGCCCGTTCGTCGCTCTGGAGGGCCTTTGGCATCGTTAAATTATTGTAATTGCAATTCATAATTTAATTGATTTAATTGAGAGGACGCCCCCTCATCCATGCCATCTCGATCATCGTCACCATCACCGCCAGCTGCTCCCCTTGGACGGCTTAGAATAATTGATGACATTTGACATTAATTACATATTTACAAAGCTAAACTTTAAATATTTAATTGTGATTGTAAATGCAATGAATTACCGCAATTGCTGTGCTTTATTTAAATTTTTTTATTTTATTTTATTTTTTGTTCTTTTTACTCGCATGCATGGAACTAATTTCATTATTTAGCATTAATCATGCACCGCCTGTTAATAAAAATTAATTGCCAGTTTGCCGTTCGTTGCTCTGCCGTTAGTCGTGGCCAATTTTAGCCATTAAACATAAAATTGCAACAAAAAATGTACATAAATGCGGTGATTTATGTCAGCGCAACAACAAGTTTATTTAACGGGACACAAAAAATCCGAAAAGGCAAAAATGTGCATGCCTACAATAATTAATTAT